AAACACACAAACAGTGACTGTCACTGTGACTGTGACTGTGACTGTCAGTAACTGTCAGTGACTGAGTGCTTTTTGTTAGTCTGCCTGTTTGCCCAGTCAACTGGCAAAGACGTCTGCAACGTTTCGCTGCACATTCTAAATGGCTTTTCCGTAGTTTTCGCACCTTGCGAAACACATTTTTACGCATTTACATACGAGCTCGGTTCGAAGCAAAAGAAAAATAAGAAGAAGAAGCAGCAACAACAGAGAAGAAGCTGAAATAGCAGAATTTTCGATTTGAACACTTTGTCGGCATTTTTTGCTTATTTTCTAGTTGAGCGCTGGCATGACAAACAGTTTCACATAATGAAAATGAATCGCTCGATGATTTTGTGTTAATTTTCTAAAAAACAAAAAAGAATGCATGAAAAGCATAGCATAAAAACCGAAAAAAAAAAAAATACAAAAGCTTTTAAAAAAACATAATTGTGCGTTTTGTAATAATCGTATTTATATGATCTTTCTGCGTGTTGTGTTTGTTATCTGTTTACAGTGCATTCCATGTGAATATCTACTTTAACTAGCAGCTTAGGCACTTCGGATAATTCCCCCTCCTTACTTTGGATATTATAAATTACGCTTTCGGCTGTGGATATACGCCCCGATTTTGGATTAATTAACTAAGATAAGCGCCATGTCGACTATTACCTATCAAATGAGCGCACTTCTACTGGGTGAGTCTTTGAAAATAATCTGTTTAAGAGACAAAATCAATTTTAAAATTTTAGAAAGCATTAGAAAAAATATATATGTATTTTTTAATTTTATATTTTCTACTTATCTTAAAAAATTCCAATTCTTTAATTTAAAATAGCAAAATCACATTCTTGGTGCTATGTTCTAGAAACTTTGAGAAGGTTTTAAAAATTTTTTTTTTCTCATTTGAAATCAGTCATTAATAATTTAGTTACGAAAAACAAATGCTTAACACAATAAAAACAAATTTAATATTTGCAATATTTATTAAATAGAAACATATTTTCAATTGATAATTTAATGACTTTTATAATTCACAAAATTGAAAATAATAAACAAAAATAATCGCAGTTTTTTATAAGTTTAAATATAAGAAGTAAAAGTTTTAAAGAAAATATTGAGTTGAGTACTCAAACAAGACTTAAGGGAGTTGGGACAGCTCGTTAAAGGTTGAATAAGAAATTTTCAACCATTAACTTTTGCAAAATTTTATATATATTAGTTTTATGGATGCCTTAAAAAAATATTATTATTAAATTAAAATTAATTTTTAATTTTTTTTTTATTTTGTATAAAAAACGAATGTGATTTAGCCTTTAATCCTTAATTTATAAAATATTGTTGAAATTCTACTATTAATCTTTAATTAAGACAAAAGCTTTATTGCAATAATTTCCAGACATTCATATTGGTTTTATGACCTTAAAGAATAGTTCAGTTTTTATGAGAAAAATAAATTGATTAATAGATTTTTAATAGACACTAAAGAGTGTAGCAAAAAGTACATCATCAGGTAATACAAGCGGTCATTACGGCGGACAAAAAGTTACCCCGCACATTAAAGACACAGAACACATTTGAAGATTCATTGAAATCACTTCCTGATGACAGAGATCATTTGGGACGTTAGCTCATTGCGCACGCATTGTATTGACCTTCTATTTCGGTGGCTTTAATTACGCATTCCAACAATCACATCATGCGGAGCTCATCTCCTCGCGATAATTAATTCGCATGATCATTAGCTGGGGCTGGCTCTGGCTCTGGCTCTGGCTCTTTAATCTTTCATAAGAGGAAATTAAGCATTGACTCAAGGTCTGCACATTAACTCAGCATCAGTTTATGGGAATTTCTATAAATATTACCCGAGTCCACACTACAAAAAAAAAAAAAAAGCATAAAATGCAATCAGTTATGAATTTTTGGCAAAAACAACAAAAATGCGGCCAATAGGTAAGATAAATAATTTGCCTTAAATGAATATTGGGTCAGAAATAATTATATGCGCATGTAAAACTTTTGAATGATCATTAAGTGGTAGAGACGACGCCCCACGGAAGCTGTCTGGGTCTGGGATTCAAATTGGTTTCGCCTGAACTCGAGTTAAACAAAAGAGATGGCCCAACAAAAACCACAATTCCCGGAGTTGCTGCTGCCCAGTCATAGTTCACAAAGGCAAAGATTTCAAATGTCTGGGGAAAAAGTTTTGGGGAATTGAAAATGAAATTCACTTTGAATTCAATGCGAATCTTCAAAGCCTAAGTCTTTCTCCCTCTCCCCCTGTCCCTCTTTTAATGGCTGTTATATACACCAAACGATGATTGCGCAATCCTCCAGCCAACAAATTTGACTGCAATTTGAGCCAAGGCGATTTGCGATTTGCATTGGTTCTGCAATTGCAAATTGCAGTTGCTTTAATTGCGGCAAGCGCATCTTCCGTTTGCCATTCCACTTTGTCAGAACAGCGCCTGCAAAAAGTCTGTTAACAGTGCCGGCCAAAAGTCGTCTTGCTAATTAAGTGCTGCACATGTGGCAATAGCATTTAGTATGGTTTGTACTCTCAGTTATAAGAATAGATGCACAGATGAATAATTCCTGCTTTAATATTTGATTTGACAACAGTGACTGCAAAAAATCAGACAAGCCTAGATATCTGAGTAATTTAGTAAATTAAATGAATGTAGTGCTTATATTAATATAATAGGATAAGGATCCATCAGATTTAGCTGAAACAATGCCTGCAAAAAGTGCGGCAATAAGACCAATTAAAAAACCTTAGTATAATTAGGCGCTGCATAAGTAAGTGTTTTTTTGTAATATTTGTACTATATACAGTGCCTGTAAAAAGTCAATCAGCAGTGTTGGCTCAAAGACATGGGAGGAATTTAAGAGTATCAAATGTCACAGTAGCTTTTAATGTAGCATACATACGTAAACTAGGATATGATCTATCTATCTATATGCAAAGAGTCTATTCAACTTAAAGTCAACATGTAAGCTTGAAATTACTTGACATTTTATATGTGCAAGTGGCTTTTAGTGTGAGATGTAAAAACTTTAAAGTAAACTAACCATAACAGTGCCTGCAAGAGCTGCCACCACAGTGCTAGCCAAAAAAAATGCCAAGGCAACTTGATTTTTCACATTTGGAAGCGTGTTTTAGTGTGACATGTTGGAATTTGTCTCTATTAAAGTTTATTCCATAGCTTGATTGATAGTAATGCTTGCCAAAAGTCTAGCGCTATTCGATGGTAATTAAACATTTCACATATGTAAGTGGCTTTTAATGTATCATGTACTCCCTTGTTGCTTGGCATAGGTAATCCATAACATTTGATTGACATGACATTTTAATTGTTTGACCCTCAGATTGGGATTCATATAGATATTTTTGTTGTGGATTTGTGGCCAATTTGGTAGCTGAATTGACACAAGTGTACAAACAGCGCGCTGTGGGAATTTGCGGTTTTGAATCTTAATGATGTCTTTCTGTATCAAAAAGCCATCAATAGTCAAATAAAAACAAAAGCAAAAGCAAAAGCTTACAAAAACAACACACGCACACAGAACTTAGCCAACCTTGAGCATCAGTTACACACACACACACACACAGGCACACTCATACACGCACACAGGCACAACTCAGATACACGCATAAATCATGTGGCTCGTCTTGCAAGCGAAAGTGTTGCGAGTGCGCGAGCCACATTAAGATGAAGGTTAGCGGGGCAACCGAGCTGGCAGCCAGTGGTTGCTGTGGCATTGCACCACTTGAGTTTCCAATTTGTGTTCGAAAAGCTCACGATTTTGTTTTGTTTTGTCTTGTTGATCTTTGCAGCCACCGCAATGGCCCTGCTGTGCGGCCAAGTGTTGGGGCAGGCCCAGCTGCTGGACGAGGACGAGGATGTCTTTGGCAGGCCCTGGCCCACCTACAGTCTGCAGAATATGCCCAAGACACAGTTCACCTGCCGCGACAAGATACTTGGCGGCTACTATGCCGATCCCGAGACGCAGTGTCAGATGTTCCATGTCTGTGTCAAGCTGCCCGGAGTGGGGGTAAGTGTTATACGACAGCTTAAAACAACAACTACAACAGCAACAACAACAACAGAGCATTGACAGTTGAATTTGTAACAACATGTGAGATAGATGGATCATATATATGTACAAATGTGTATGCACTACTTACAGTGGGTATATAGGCTTTGTAGATTGTAAATATGTGAAAGGATGGACTACAAAATTCGGAGTAGTTTAAGGTTAATCACTACAATTTTCCCAAGGTTGTTAAGCGGTCTATGTAGAATTTTATAAGATAACATATATCTCGCACCAATATCATTTATAGTATATACACATTTCTATCCATCTGAATTCTATAAACATGTTGGGATAAGAAATTATAAGCATTTAAAATAAAATTAAAAATTTTCTTAAGTTTTAAATTTTAATTTTTCTTAAAAGTTGTATATTAGTTTTTTTTTTTAACAGCATATTATATTATTATATTATTATATGCTTTTTATTTTGCGTTTTTGAATTTCGAATGAAGACTTTTAGAATTAAAATCTTGTAAAATTTGTTTTTATTTATCAGGTATAATGTTTCTTACTTCTTAGATTCATTCGGAAATTACAAATATTGAATAATTTTGTAGCCGAGTTGGTAGTGTGGATTATGATCGCCTAAGGGATACTTTTATTTATTGTAAAAGAAACGTAACATATCATCAAATAATGTGAGAGACAGATTTGATCAGATTTCCCTTATGACCAACTCGACAATAAGCAAACTATGTAATGAATAGCCATTTACAGGGCATCAGCCAGTGTCATAAGGTCAGTAGTGTAGCAGCATGTCTACATATAATGATTAAAATTACACGCAAGTTATGGTGTAAACAATGGATTAACCAACAATCTACCACAACCTTCGGCTAAGAGCGCACTTGGCTTCGGCATCGAAATGCAGTCTAAATTCTTCGGTTGATTTTCAACTTTTCACAGCATCAAATTGATAAAATTTTATTCGATACACGCGCATATTACGTTGTAAAATAGACAATTTAGAGTGGCCGCCATAGGGCCACGAGTATTCCGAAAGCCTTAAAGAAGAGAAGAGAGACGCAAAGACAAAACATCAGCCATTTGTTAACTTGCGGGCACTCTGAGTCGCTGTCAGTTTAAATGGCAAAGATGCACGGCTACATAGGCCCCCACCCCATCGGCTCAGCCGAGTGCGGGAGGAGCACTGTCAAAGGGATGGGTGGGTGGGGGGTCAAGTAGACTTCGTGACTGCCCAGGTTGCCAGCCGGTGCTCTGCAGTTGCAGCGGAACAGCATCTGCTGGCTGTTCGCTGACCTTTAAGTGCATAAAGTATTCGATACGTTTAACATTAATTGACTGCCACATATAGGGGCAGAGAGAGAGAGAGAGCGAGAGAGCGGCAGTGGGAGCGAGGTACAGTCAGAGACAGATGCGATACACATGGAGAGCGGCAGAGAGTGCAACAGACGGAGCGAGACATCTAACCTACAGATTGGCTATCGCTGCTCTCCAGCAGCTGCGTGCTATGCAGCTCTAGGTAGATGTCGTCCAGCACCTTCGATAGCTGCGCCTGTCGCTGCTGCTCCTGCACTTGCTGCTCCCTGCGCTGATGTGTCCACAAAAGCTCAAACATATTCGAGTACTTGGCCAGCTTGCGCTTAAATTTGAGACGCTGCTTCTGCAGCTTCCTGTTGCTCTTCGCCAGCCTGAGATGCAGACGGTCCAACATTTGGGTTTTCTGCTTCAGCTGCTCGCTATTCTGCTCGTGGCTGATGGCCAGCTGTGTGACAATGTGCCGCACTTCCAGCATCTCCTCAAGGCTGGCTTCCGCATCGGTCTTGATGTGCCTGAGCTGATCGGACAGCCGACTCGCCTCCATCTCCTCCTCGTCAGCGAATATTGTTGCCTGCTGCAGCTGGCACAATGGGCTGGTATTGGTCTTGCATTGAGTGTAGGTGTTGCGTTGGTTCGGAAATTCGAATTCCAGCTGAATGCGGGTGTTGTTCTTCTTCAGCAACTCCAGCAGCTCATCCAGCTGGAATTTGTAATCGCTGCCGCGCCAGAACTCTAGACCGCTTAGCTTATTGCTCAGGCAATGGAATTTTTCGCGCTCCCGCAGGTAGAGCGCCTTCCAGACCTTGGCACAGTCCATGGCCGTAATTGCATCGAATTGTGGATCCGGCGCAGTTGTATAATTGATTATCACAGTGCTCTCATCGCTGTCCAGTAAATCCTTGAGGATTCGCGTTAACCGTATATTATAGTACCTGATATGCGTTTTGGTATTGCTCGCCAGCGCACTGATTATCCTTAGCAATGAGGCCATGGGCGTGTGCAGTTGCAGCATCATCTCCGACTTATCGACGGCCGTCAAATGGACGAGCTGGATGCTGCCGTTCAGATGCAGCGATCGGTCCAAATTAGTCTGCCTCACGCATATGGTGAATAGCGCATAGGGATAGTCATTGGTGGGCATCGCATCGTCCGATTGCTGCTGCAGCTGCCCAATGACCCTCTCTATATACGCATAGACATCATGGGGCGAGGCGACAAAGTGCTTCTCCTGTGTGCCCGTCAAGTGATCCTTTGCCACATGCTGTTGCATATGACTAATGGATACGTTGATCTGCATCGTCACCTGCATGGTGCAAACATGGCCAAATAGCTTGCACAAAATGCGATCCACCACGTCCACCTTGCTGCTACGTCTCTCGCCAATCGGCCAATGGCCATAGCTGAATATGGTGCTGGCTTTGCCCTTGAACACATCGTCCAGTACACTCGATGCGGCCTCCTCACAGACATCCACTTGCTGCTGACTGAGCTCGGACAGTTTGCGAAATAGATACATTTTTGCCTAGTTTAAAGGAATCGGGCATTGAGCATCGTGCAGCAAACGGGCAGCATTGCCGGCATTGCTCTTACCATGTTTAACAAAGTAAATAATGCCCAAGTCACAATGGTGCGGGTTTTGAACTATATAAGTACTATACATGTGGATTTTTAGTTGTCAATTAGCCTACTATTCTATGAATGATGTGGCATACACACACACACACACATGGGCCAGATCAGAGAACACGTTCACTTCGCCTCAATTAACGGCCAAAATGTGTGCAGCAGCAGCATCATCTGGTGGCAACTGCCGCAGCCGGATACCAATTCAAATGCCAAGTGCCACACAGCACAAGTAGAAGTAGAAGAAGAAGAAGAGGCAGACGAAGCAATAAAAAACATACGACAAATGCCAAAGTTCATCAACGGCCTTTGGCTTGTTAAAGTCGAAACCTTGCCACGGCTCTTCCAACTATTGTCACGATATGCACCATACGACATCGCTAAGATAGTCTTTATTCCATATAGTAATGAAACGTGTTTAGAATAAAATGTATACAAAGTGTTCTATATAGTTAGTAGCTATTCAAAAATGCTATCATGTAATAATTCGAATTGGAGATTAACTCGCAGATTCCAATTGGATTTGATATGTATTTTATTGTATACAAAGTTTATATACATGAAAATGAAATGCATATATTCCTTAAGCAAATATATTTATATATAAAAACATACATATAAAAATTCCACTGCTAGGCTATTAGATACCCTACGTCCGAGTTGAGGTGTTTTTTTTATTTTTATTTTTTTATTTTTTATGTAGATTCTAGAAGATTGTGAAGCTTCTAGAGTTTTTAGTCTTTTACTGCACACCTAGTGTATACGTATGAGCTCATGGGAATGAACAGTTAGGCATGCAGACTTCCATACATGGGCTAGAGCCACATAGCTTGATACCGTCATCAAAATTATGTTAGTTATAATTATTATTTACACACCTTAAGCAAACACTATTTATTTTACAATTAAATGGCAAATCTTATTAAATGTTTCAACAGCTGGCTGTTATAAATAACTTAAACAGCTTTTGATATATAATTATGAAAAATAGTACCAATTTAGATGGTCATCGCTTAGATTTATATTTTATAAAGCATTCAAGGCTATTTTTGATAGCTATAATTCAGTAGTTATTCAATTAAACGATTATAAGCTATAATATTGGTATTCAATGTGATTTTCTATATGATTATAAATGCGTGAAAATAATTCTATAAATTATGACATATACATATATAATTATGAGGAAGATAAGAAGATGAGTCATTTCCGTTACCTATTTGTCTACCTGCTTTTTTGCATAAACGCATTATTTATTTTTTATTAATTAAAATTATGGATAAGAACTCTTGCATATCAATAGTATTTTTTCCTAATAAGGGAAGCCGCAACTATATAGGTGTCATTTTTAATTTTATTTGCACAATTATAGTATAGGTGCCATTTTTAATTTTATTTGCACAAATAATTAATATTTCATACCATCCATGCCATCCATTATTTTCTGGATACTTCATGAAGCTTGCATTTTGAGAAAGAGTTGAATATTTCAGACTTTCAGCATTATAATTATATTCTGGAAATTTTTTTGATATCTTTCGTCTGGAAAATTTTAGCTTGCATACCTTAAGTGAATTTATTATTTTCAGAATTTTGAATTTATTATATTATTTACGTATTTTTATTTTTTTCTTATAATAAAATACTTGTTTTTTTATTTTTTTTTTGAGTATGAATAATCGTATATAATTTTTTTGATTTTATTTTTCAATTGTTTATATCTGCTATCCTTTTATAACTTTAAGCTCATCTTTTAATATTAAGAAAATGTTTATATGTAAATATTTCTATTTAAAGATTCATCTGATTTAGTGCTGTTGTTGTTGCTGTTGTTAATTAAACAAAAAAATTAACAATTAGAAAAGAAACCAAAAATTGCTTATTAACTAATTTCGCCCACTTATCAAATTGAATCTTGCATGTTGATCTGGTTATGTGCTTTTGCTGTAAATGCGGCTAACTGTTTGCGCAGCTCTCACATCGAAGAAATAATTCGTTTGTCCAACAGGTGCAGGACTATCGCTTCCTCTGCCCAAACAGCACTGCCTTCGATCAAGAGCTGCAGATCTGCGCCAACTGGGCAGACGTCGACTGCGACAAGTCCACGTCGCTCTATCTGAACGATTTGTATCGCTCGGGTGACGAGAGCAAGAGCGTTAATCAGGAGGATGAGTCCACCTTCCATTTGCAGCGAGCCGAAAGTGGTAGATAATGATCCAATTATGTTGTCTTATCCATTATTGTTGCGATCCCATTATACACGACTTGACCTGATTGCAGGTGATGTGCGTCGCTCCAAGGAGAGCCGCGGCGATCAAAAGTCGCGCCCCAGACATAATTATGCGGTGACTGCTTCCAGTTCCAATGCGGACAACGCGCCGACAACCAAACGACCCATCACTAGCTATTATACGCCCACGACAACAACAACCACAACAACATCCACTGAACGTAACTACTACAACAACAATAACAACTACAACAACAACTACAACAATAACAACAACTACAACGACGACTCGAAGCGTAAGTTAACAAACAATGGAATCTTCAAATTTATTACACAAATTAATCACGCTCTTGTCTCTCGCTGGCATCCACAGAAGACATCGATGATATCTTTAAAGGTTCCCACAGCTCGCACTTCTTTGCCAATCGGCATGGCGGGCGCGAATTTGACGAGGAGCCACCGCGTCCCAGGCCCAACGACTTCAACGATTACAATCGCAAGACCACTGAGGCAGCTAGCAAGACGCGTGCCACGCCCACACGTGGGCAGCGCACCAGCCAGAGCCCCAGTTCCAGTGCAGGCACCAGCACCACAGCTGCTCCCTCAACGAAATCCGTGAAGAAGATAACGCTGCATGCTTCCTTCAATGCAGGGTTCCAGGATTATACGCAGAACTATAAGTCAACCACGCCCAGCACCTTGGCGCCCACAGCGAGCACCACACCGCGCCTGGGCAGCGGGATCACCAGCCGCTTCAGCTTCGGCTCCAATGACTATCAGACCCAGGAACGCATCCAGCCAACCACATATAATCCGAACAATGGTTTTCGCTACAAGAGCACGGAGCAGCCGTCCAGCTCGACCAAGCTGACGGGCAAGAATGCCCAGGACTTTGACAAGGAGACCACCAGACGACACAAGCCAACTGTGTCAGCACGCAAGCAAAAGCTCGGCCCGCAGGAGTCGAACTACATCAATCACAACGAGTTCGCTGAGCTGGCCAAGCCGCAGCCATTCCACGCCAACCAGGATGCAGCCCGGAAACCTGCCCAGCTGGAGCCGCAGTATCAACGGCCTCGGTCCCAATCAACCGCTCAGCAGTTGACTCGCGTGGGCAGCCAGGAGCCGTCGCCATTCAAGTCCTCGTCGAGCGCCTCTGCCTCCAATGCCAAGCCGCGCACCTTCGCAAGCCGCGGCAGCATCACCTACAAGGCGACCACCCAGCGCTATGTCGATGATGAGTTCTACTATCCGACCACCACTAGCACAGCGAATCCCAGCAAGAAGTTGTCCACGCAGGCCCTAAGGGATGCCTTTACGCCCACCACCTTCAAGCCGACGACATACAAGAAGGCCTACGAGCAGAGTTTCTATCAGGTGCAGCAAACGCAGCGCCCCAGCCAGAGTCCGAGCTCCAAGAAGACAACGGCTGTGACACCTGCGCTGCCCAGCACAGCCAATCCGTACGCCAATATTGATGAAGATGACGGACAGTACCATCCGGAGCTGTATGAGAGTGACTTCCCACGCAATCGCTTCAAGTTTCTGCGCAACCGATCAACCACCAGCCCCACGACCTCCACGAGCACCACCAGTGCTCCCGTCTCGAGCAGGCAGCCTCATGGATTTCAGCAGGCGCACAGCCATCTGAGGAGCCAGCAGCAGTCCGCCTATCAGAAGCAGCATGAGCAGGAACAATCGGATCTGAGCGACGAGGATGAGCTCTTCAAGACGGCCCAATCGCTCAACTTTGGCGCTGCCAGCATCAACAAGCTACGCGCTGATATCTACAAGGCGGAGAAGACCTCGCAGCAGTATAACTCCCAGTACAGTCCACAGCTGGCGCCATCTAGTCCGAAGACGACCGCCCAGGTGACCAGCTCTACCACGACATCACCAACAACAACTACAACCACAACAAGACGCCCCACAACAAGCACAACGAAAACAACAACAACCACCACCTCTCCGGTGGAGTCTAAGAAATCGGCCAAGAGCAAAAAGGAGGACAAGAAGAGCAAATCCAAGCGGCCTCCATACGCCGACGAGGATACCAGCTACGACTACGCCTACTACGACACGGATTGAGCTCCAGGTCAGCAGCAGCATCGGCATACGTCTAACCCAGTTCCCGAACTATATAGCCCTTATTTTGTATGCCTTCATCGCAAACTAACAATGTTAAAGCACATACTTGAATCCTCTCCAGCAGCAACTATATAGGTGCCACAGTATTTTATATATATGTATACACAAATCAAAATAACTTCCCGTTTAGATTCAGCTATTGCTCGCATTTTTTCATCGTCTTCGGCTATTCATGGCCCCTGAATACCCAATAACACTCGCGTACATTCATTCAATCAGATGAGTTCGTTCTAATGAATTTCCATGCGTGTATCTAGTTATTTAAATAAAACAAACATATATTTAGTCGTTAGACAATTGTTAAACTGAAAAAAAAGAAAACACGAAAAAGCGAAAACTTAAAACACATTTTAAAATTCAGCTGCTAAAATTGAAATGAAACAATTCTATTCAAAAATTTGTATTTGTAATGTTTTTCGATTGTATTCATTGCGAAATTTATATTAATTTTAAGTTTTCTTGTAAATAAAATGATAAATAATAGATTGCTGTGAATTTTAATTGGCTGGCATTTAAAATGAGCGCCTAGTTCTGAGCTTTCATTATCGATAAGGTTGAAGACCAGCTTTGAATGGTCTATCGATGCTTGCTGTTTAATATATTATCGAAGTCTTACGGGACGATCGACTTTAGCTACTGCAGCCCTGACTTATCGGTGCTAATTGTAAGCTGACAATACTCGACAGTGTAGCCCTGTGGGGCGCGAATTCAAATTATCTTTCTTTTTGCTTTTTATTTTGTAATTAATAAAATCTTAAAAATCATATAAATTAAGTGAGTGCTGTGCAAATATAAATTTATATGTTTAGTCTTTAAATTTTTGACGCACGCAACGCGGCATTGGGAACAAATAGAGCAGCATATTGAAGGCGGCCAAGCCCACTGCGAAAGCACAAGACGCAGCGACATCAATTGTTTCCTGAAATACGAAAATATGTTTACGAGGAGCAAGATATGGCATGATAGTAGACTTACATCTGGATCTGGTAGGCCCAAGCGTTCGTGCATAAAGTCTGTGGGCTTCGGGCATATAACAGAAGCGGTGGGCGTGCAGTTGAGCTTGCGTGTCTGAAAGGCGATGCTGTGCAGCAGCGAAGAGGCGTAACGCGTATGCGTGCCCTTGGTATTGTCCTGCAGCCAGGGCTGCAAGCCCTTAAACGATCTGCAATTAGAATAAGTTATTAGATATAGTTTTACTTTTGATTGTAGATCTAAAAACTTGCCGCACTGTGCCGCTGGCCAGGGCAATGCTGATGACCAGCACGTAGGTCACTGCTATGGCTGCATTGAAGGGCACCTTGACCACCAGCAAGAAGGATATGGTCATTTGCTCGGCCAGCACATAACTGGACCAAAGGGCCACAAAGAGATAGGCGAACACGGTGCCATTATTGAACTTCGAATCCAAGAGCAGGCTATGAAGAAATCACTAATTAGGATTTATACAGACACTACCTATAAGCTAGATCTCTTACGGATAGATAACACAGCTAGCCAAAACAGAAGATACCGCTGAAAAGGGTATCGAAACGGAGTTGTAGGCTAGCAGTAGCGTAGTGCCCGTATAGAGACCTTCTGGAGTATCCTGGGAGAGCTTTTTGCGCCAAATGGGAACTGCAAATGGTAGAAAAATTAAGCCGTGCTTTTAAAGATTTGCTTCCAAACTTACACAAGATTATGGTGGTCAAAATGCCGCAGCCATAGGACAGACCAAGTATATTCAATATCATGCCGTTTCTGGTAAAGAAGCCACTGGCATCGTCCTGCGGGAGAAGATAATATTAAAAAGACTCTTTAAAAAAAACCTCAATACCTACGGTAAGATTCGTATAGAAAGCCCATAAAATGGCCATTGATATGGGCAATAGTAGCAGGCGCAGGAAGAGCGTCTTCATGCCCACCACGCCGCAGGAGAATGTGGAGGCCAAAAGTTTTCTAAAAGAAAAAGTTTAGAATCTAAAACATTTCTAATAAAATTCAAATTTCCGATCTTACAAATACAGCATGATCCAAACTTTAAGCTCGCCGGGCTTGCCATAGGCCAGAGGCACCTTGCCCGAGCCCATATTGTTCAGCGGCGCATCGGAGATGGGCGTCTCTCTGGAGAACCGCTCGACCAGTGCTTCGATCTGCTGACTGGACTCGAGAAAACGATCGCGACTGCGACGATCGACAGTGGAGAGACATAGATAATACATGAGCGGATTCTCCAGCTGCGGACAGGGAAAGCCAATGGCATGGAAATACTCCAACATGGCACGAGTGCCGCCCGAGTAGACAACGCCGCCCAGGCACAGGAACAGCGCACGATCCAAAAAGGGGAACACATCGGAGCGCGGCTTCTCCAGCGACAACAAAATGCCACAGCCCGTCTTCTTGGCCGTGTTTGAGAGTATGGAGATAAGCAGATAAGCACTGAGGGGATCTAGACCTTGAGTGGGCTCATCCAGCAGCAGCATGACTGAAAATAACGAGAGCTAAGCTCAGCTGCAAATGTTTGAGAAGCTGCAAAATTCACCTGGATCTCGAACCAACTGTATGCCAATGGCTAAGCGTCTGGCCTCGCTTATATTCAGATATTCCACGCGCTTGTGCGCCACTTGCGAGAGCGCCAAATCCGCCAGCACTTGACGCACCTTGGAGCTCTTAAGATAGCCACCGAGCTAGAAGTAAACAAAGGCTGTAAGTCATGTCTAATCGAGAGTATTTTGCACTTACAATGGTGGGCGTGTAGTGTAATGTTTGAGCCACTGTCAAACCTGGCACAAAGGTACAGGATTGTGTCACATAGCCGCAACGTTGCTGGAAGAGTGCCTTGCTCAGCGGCGAGCCATTGAGCAGCACCTGTCCACGAGTGGCGCCATCCGCACGTCTAGCAATCACATCCAGCAGAGCCCTTTTGCCGCTGCCTAAAAAAAAACAACAATTTCCTTAAAATGCAATAAATATATGCAACTCAATTACCTACCTTTTGAGCCCAGTATGGCCATCACCTCGCCGCTGTGCACGGTCAGGTTGACGCCTTTGAGCACTAGCGCTGAGTTGCCGGCACCATTGAAACAGCCACCACCGTCCACCTATACAGATAGTGTGTGTGGGAGAGATAGAGAACAAACAAAAGACTTCAATGTTTAGGCTTGTTTACGAGGCTTCCAGTGCACTTGCCTCGGTGGTGTGGAATATGTTATGCGCTTCCAGTACGTAGTCGCTGCCGATCATTTTCATAGCCAACACAATAACAACTCTCTAGAGCAGCAAACAGCTTTGTTTGTTATTCCTCTGCTCTATGCCTCACACTCTGTACGCCGTTCAAGAGCGGCTCAAAGAACCAAACACTGGCTGGAAGTAAACAGTGCACAAGAGCACTGGAATGAGATAGGAGCTGTGAGAGGGAGAAACATACAGAGATAACGCGTTAGCTGTTTTAATTTTATTTGGAATTTTCAACAGCAATTGCACTTCTTAAATATATTTTATAATATTACATTATTTATTTATTAATTCTACTATTATTTGCACACTTCTTACTAAAATTTAAATGCACCAAGCAAATATTTATTTATTTTTAGGTGCGAATCAGCCGCAAACACGTCTAGTCCAAGCGAGCGCAGAATTCCAACTGAAGTTGTTGCTGGTATTGCGATCGGCACATAAGCAGTAGCAATTCCTATTGGAAGTTTAAGCGCTGGCAGCTGGAATGAGTGCGTTGTGCTCTCCCCACTTCCAGACGCGCACACTAAAATTCCAATGCAGTCTAAGATGGCGTCCGAGGCCAAGTTCAGCTCAGTACGATTTGAGCAGGGCAACGGGAGAGTTGTCTGCAGCGCCGCTCGTTCGGCTTGTTCACGTCTATTGCCTCTGCGCATAAAAAGTGAATTAAAATACAACAAAGTTTAGCAATAAATAGAAAAAACCAAACAAACAAAAAAAAACTGCGCGCTTGAAAATCTAATTGAAATGTTGTCGGCGTAACTAACAAAATATAAATGCGGTAGCATTCTTTATGTGCATACATAAATATAATATAAAAATACATATATTTATTCATTTATTTATTAATGTGCAATGTGTGAACGCTTGCAAATGTGGTTTATTGGCCAGGCTCGTGTGTGTGACAAATCAGTTTGCAAATAGCTTGCAAACAGCGGCATTTGCCATACCCAAATTCTCCAATAAGAAACGCAAAACTGTGCGTGTGTGCATGTGTGTGTGTTAGTGCGAGAGTTTTTATGGAATATACAGCAGCGGCAATAACAAGCAGCAGCAAAAACAACAACAACAACTATAGACAGGTAAGTAAGCTTGGGATTAAAGTTGTTAAACATTTTTTGCATTTTGCATTTTTGAGGCGCCTTTTTTCCAGGTTGCACATTAAAACATTGTCCAACTGGTATTAACTGTTAAAATTTATATTTAAAACCCAAGTCAAGCCACATAGACACATGTGTATGCTTTCTCAGTGTGTGTGTGTGTGTGTGTGTGTGTGTATGTGTATGTGTATCTATATGGGCTTAGTCGAGGCGTTGACGGGCGCTCAGCTCCTGCTCCACGTTGTTGTTTTCTTCAGCTGCGGTCGTCGTCGCCATTGCCAGGTCAAAGATCCCACAAGCAAGTTTTGTCTAGCGAACGCTTCGCTCAGCTCCATCGTTCTCTGCAGGTCTGCAGACCCAGGTCTATTGCCGTTTCGAAGCATTTCCACGCTGCTTCTTCGAGTTGTTGGCTTTTTTATTTTGTGTTTTCCATTCGGCTTTAAAGTTCTTTTGCGCGCTTAGGGCGCATAGACAGCGCCAAAGTTATGCGTTGGTCTGTCTCTCTCTCTGTATGTGTTTGTGTGTGTGTGTGTTTGTGTGCTGGTATTTGTATTTGTGTGTGTCTTTTCTGTTTGTTTGTTTCGCTCGCTGACTCGCCAAGTTCTTGGCTGCGTGCGTTGCTTATTGTTTGTCTTGCCTCTCGGCATTTCCTCTTTGGCTGCTGCTGCCGCTGCTGCTACATCTCTTGTTGTTGTTGTTGCTGCATTTTTGTGGTAACTGCTTATTGACGTTTTGTTGTAATGCAAAATCTGTATATGAAATCATTTTGCGTCTTGAAATCGTAAATACTCATAAAGAGCTGCTATCATTTAGCTTTAGCAATTTATCTTTGGCCATTTATCTGTGGCGCTTTGTTGCCAAGAATTTCGAAATTGGCCAACAGCAGAGCAACTTTCACATTCAATTTTTTTAAAGCAAACAATCACTTTCAAAACTGTGAAAAATCTTGCCATTATTTGATAAGACTCATATATATATATATAGAGTGAGACAGAGAGAGAGAGAGAGAGAGAGAGAGAAAGATAGATATATATTTGGCACATTTCTCGGAATTGTTAATTGCAAACATTAGTTTTTTGGCCGACAATGCTTCACGTCTAATTACAATGCCATGTTTTACCGTTAGCTGAATACCTTTGCCTATCAGCGCCCAAAGATGTCTGATTCTTTTTCTTTTCGTTGTTTTTCTTCCTCTTATTTTTTGTATTCTGTTCTCTGCCTGGTGACTCGTTAGTTTCTGTGGCTCTCTTCCCCTTGTTGTTGTTGTCTTTTTTTTTTTTTTTTTTTTTGTGGCGTAAATTAGTTAACAGTATTTCTTATAACTATTAACGGTGCTGCCTGATGACTTGTAGCCAGGCCGAAAAAAAAAAAACAGAACAGAAACTAAAAACAAAGTGGGAGAAGAAACATCTTGACACCGACCGACAATCTGTGAGTTTCAATTCGAGACAATTTCGAATCGAAAACGAAAGACTTAAGACACAAACTTGATGTGAAGACAAAGTCAAAGGCGCAGCGACTTAAGCCGAATTGATTGTCAGTTCATTGCTTTGCGCCGAGTTTTGGCCAACGCGGCGGGTGGTGCTGTCGGTGGTGCTGCTGCCACTGCTGCCACTGCTGCCAGCTTTGTCTAGCCAACGTTTTATTGCCTTATATAAGAAGGGGAAAAAAACAAGGTGCGGCTGCAGCTCTGACCAAGAACTTGTTCTGCTCGGGATTGGCTTACGTTTAGAGCTTAGTATTTTTAACTGCAGACCAATGCATTGGCTCTGCATTGAGTCATGATTCATTGCTTTTAATGGGCCTCCTCTCCTCTAGACACACTCGTCTTTAATCCCTCGGCCCGAAAGCGTAGTGAAAACTTAACGAACCGCTGCAAATGAAAAAGAAATTTCCCTCGGCCATTGATAAAGTACAGAGCGGGTTAATTTGGGTTTTATTATAATTAAATTAACACATAAAAGACGCGCCACATAGAACAGCTGCATAATTAGACGAAGAAAGTGCTATCCAGCCAACTGAATGGATGGATGATGCTACACAGCTTGTGGCTGTTCGTTGTTGTTTTATGGTCGTTTCAAACCAGAAATTCATTTCACTACATCAACTTGAACTGTGTGTGCCGTCAGCTGAAGTCGAAGTTGGCTGACATAGAATCAGAATCGAGACACAGAAAAGTATCTTAAGGAATGTGTGAATGTGAGTGAGTGTGAGTGTGAGTCTGTCAAAGTGTGTGCGGCGTGTGTGTGTGTAGCTAGGCAGCGAAACACGCGCACACACCCCAACGTGCTGTGCATAAATTGTGCCACGGATTTATGTCACTCAAGACATCGTGAGTTTTGGCATGATCTACAATAGGTTCGTATATCAGGCCGGTACAGTGGCTTACAGCTAGTTTATAGCTGACATAATTATATAATCAAATCACAAATTTAGTGATCGACTCTTGAAGCTGGGAATTATATAAGATGTTTGTTTAGTTTTTACGATAGTCGTTTAGTAACTTTTCTCTTCTGAATTTAATTAGGTTACACAGATTAATGTTTGTTTAGTTTTTGAAAAGAATTTTTGATGTAAAGAAATTTTTGTAAATGGACATAAAATTAAATCGCATTTTTTGAAAAGAAACTTGATTAAATATGGAAAAGAAGCTTACATAAATTAAATTATAGAGTATATATTGTTATCTAAAATGAAGCAACAAGAAAGATTTAGATTTTTTATATTTAATCTTTAGTTTCAACTTCAGTAAAATATTTCAATGTTAATGTCTAGTATCAAAGTGTTGTCTCAAGCTCAACAAAACGAATAAAATAATATCATCATTACAAAGATATATACGAAATAAATAAATGATTTAAAGAGACTATGAGCGCTTTTTTTGATTTATGTTAATAATATAATACGATATGTTAATATTTTCAGCATTTCTAATCGTAAGTACGTTGTATACATATCAAAATAAAATTCGCAGCTTGAAAAATTATAAAGACTTTAGTCAAATTTTTAAGGAAACATGTTTAGTTGGCTTCAAACTTTTAACAAAGTAACAAAATGGTAAAAATTTTAATCAGCTATAGCTGATTCTTTGCAGATTTGCACCACTGTAGCTAGCTGGCGCCATGGGCTCAGTGTCTGTGTCTGGGTGGGTGCGTTAGCTGTGTCTGGGATATGTCCGACCTATAGTCTCTCGCATTTTTATGCATGTGAGGGCAATGCGAAAATATACATATTTAGTTTGGAAAAAAGTTGTATTTTGTTTGTCATGGAATTTGTGTCAATTAGAGTGGCGCATACACATGTGCGTGTGTATGTGTGTGTGGTGGGGCGGATTGGTGGACTGGTGGGCTGATGGTTTCGCTGGGTTTAGTGGGCCGGGCTGGTTTTTGATGATGTCCACAATTGAGACGGACGGACATTGGCATGCAAATTTTTGCCTCGTTGTCGACTTTCACAAGTCGATTGCAACACATAGGAAAGTGTTTTGTTTGAGCCGGAGCGTTAATTGCCTGTAAAGATGGCCAAAAAAAAATAAAAATATATAAAAAAATCCGCAGCATGGCAAACGGCTTGAGTCGAGGCAATTAATAAAGCTGACCTTGCTGCTGTGAATTTTCCGAACGAAAAACGAGCAAACGAAACACCAAATGGAAACTGAATCACTTGAACACACATACACACACAAACGCACACATAGACAAATACGGTGAGCGAGGGCTATGCAGCCATGACGAGTATTTGTTGACGGCATGACATTAACTTGGCTCTTTTTTTTTTTTTTTTTTTTTTTTTTTTGGGGTCACAGTTGGAGCGCGCTTTGCCTATGTCAGCAGCAGCAATGGTTTTTTTGTTTTGTTTTTGGACTTTGGCGCATTCTTTGGTCGTTATGGTCTTGTAGTTTTCGAGATTGCCTAATTTAATAACCACAATTGGCTAAACTTAATAAACAGTTGGCCCAGTTATAGATGCGCATATTAGCCAAGCTCAAGTAGTTGAGTTTGCTTATGCGCGATTCTGTCTGTAAATCGATTATCTTTAAGTCTTTTGTCATCAATTTTTAAGATTCGTTCAATATTTCACTGAGCATATACATTCTCGACTTAGGCTTATCGAGTTTGCGAAGTTGTCTTGGCATGTTTTTGTTGCTGCTAGTCTCATAGTTTTTTCTAACTTTTCTTTCTGTTGCCATAGCTCCACATATGTCAAAGCCTGTCATATTTGTTTGCTATATCATTTAGCGTATATATACGAGATTAATCACATTTTATGTTTTATTTTTATGAATTATCATCAATTTTTAAGATTCGTTCAATATTTCACTTAGGCTTATCGAGTTTGCGAAGTTGTCTTGGCATGTTTTAGTTGCTGCTAGTCTCTTAGTTTTTTCTTACTTTTCTTTCTCTTGCCATAGCTCCACATATGTCAAAGCCTGTCATATTTGTTTGCTATATCATTTAGCGTATATATACGAGATTAATAAAATTTTTGTTTTATTTTTATGAATTACATTAGCTGTGAAGCGCTTAGAAACAGAATCGTTTGGCTTTAATGTCATGTGAAAATGAATTGAAAAGAGCAAATAAGTTTTATGTAATCTATATCTGGCTGATGGATAATGTAACTATGTACATATTCCACAGAAAGCATAGTCAATGCTTAAACAATATATACCACAGTTTTAGGGCTAGTATCGAAACCTGAGACTGTTTATCTCCTCTAAAAAATCATGACCTAAAATACATCTACATACTCTGTGACTCAACAGGATAACAGACTGTTCACTTTCTCCAATAATATTGAATACTTTCCATATCAATATATAGACCAACAATTTTTATTTGCACTAAAGTCTATTTTTTTTTATTTTATTTTATTTTTTTTCTGAATCATTATTTTCATTAATGGAGCAATGGAGATGTTTCATATATATTCAAACCCAAATATTTTTTTCTCTTATTTTTTTCACACCTTCTCCTAAAGCA